TTGGTGTACTCTTTCTGATGATAAATGGACATTTAGCGACGACAAAAGTCGTTGCTAAAAACCTTGTTTCTTGCAGGGGGCCTTGTTCTTACGTTCGCCCAGGGCCTAAAAAATGTCAGGAACGGGCCTGTATAGGGCGACTATTTACATGTTCTCAATCCCGTAGATATGGGTTGGTTTCCTATATTGAGTCAGTTAAATAAAACAATATGCTAGGCTTTGTTCAAGCCTGCAAATGATCACTTTTACAAGAAATGTATAGTCTTGAAAGCAACTCATCGGTTTTTGAATCATTGTATTTGATTCTAATACAAGGTTAATTAGTTCTTTTTGTTCTTGTGAAAACGTAGCATTTTAGGTGAATCCCACATCAAAGATGAATAAGAATGATTTTGGGCATATATAGTAAATTTTTTCACTAATATCGCCCATTTTAAACCATTTTAGGTCACAACTTGTGAACAAAGGGAACACTATGTTGGTTGAGATGACGCATAATGGTATAAGAGTTGATACTTGTATCATAAATATGGCGGGGTAGTTAACATCGAGGACGATGAGTCCAAAATGTGATGGTTGTGGCATCTTAGAAAAATCTCACATTACGAAGAACAATAAAATGAGATGGTTTGTATGCACGGAGAATTCATCCAAAAAACGATTGTTAGAGATACGAAGATATGAATACAAACATGACTTGTCTACTTCAAAATATGACCAGTTTTAAACATTTGTTTATATTCTCCATCTCAATGCAAATAAATGCACCTGTATCCCTTTTGTATCAGTATACCTACCTGGTTTATATGTACAGTAAAAAATCATCATCATATTGCGATGTTACAATCTCAGAGATCCCGATTTAGGAAGACACATCATATTATGTTACGTAAAATGACACGTAAAAAAATTAATCACTAAATGCAACATTATTGCCCAAAATAGCATGTTAATTCAATAACCTTCAAATAAACTTAATTTTGTTAATTGGATGTGGGTCATTAAAGTGAAAAATAAGTCGATGCAAAGTGGAAACATTTCAAGATTCTTGATACATCATCGTTTTCTTGATTGATTCCCCACCAAATCCCCTTTTCCTTTTGGATATAACAATAGCCTTTGTGCATATCCATCATACCCCATTAAAGATATAAGTAATTGTTACATATATTTTAAGGAATAATTATCTAAAGTTTTTCAAAATAATTATTTTTATATACACGATGGATTATATATATATATATATAGGGTTGGGTTCACGTGAGATCAGCCTGTTTTTGTGAGACCCGTGAGACCACATTTTTACACATAAACTTCACAGCAAAAACACTGTGAAAGTTAGAAAAAAGTCGAACCTTCACAGCAAAAACACTGTGAAGGTTAAAAAAAAGTCACCTTCACAGCATTTTGCTGTGAAGTTTCAAGTGTAAAAAGGTGGTCTCACGGGTCTTACGAAAACAGACTTGTCTCACATGATCACAAGTATATATATATATATATATATATATATATATATAGAGAGAGAGAGAGAGAGAGAGAATAGAGGTGAATTATTATGCAACTCTTTACATTTGTACAACCAATATAACTCAATCTCAATCGTCCATTTAGTTTGATGAATATGTGATTTCACAAAAGTTTTGATTGTTTTCTAATATAAAGTATTGATCATAATTAATGAACCCTATTCATCTTCTATAAATATTCAAATTATAATAAATAAACTCTCATCATTTCCATAAATATCTTAATTGATTGGGTTGCATTGGTTATATAAATGTGATGAGTTGTATTTGAAACGTCTTATATATATACACACACACACATATATATATATATATATATATTTAATAATTATAAAAACTTGTGTTAAATTTGATCATCGTGCAACACGCGGTTCATATCATGTAATATACAAAAGTATTTATATATTTATTATGAGAAGGAAATGGTGACCCATTGAGATTGGTTTGCCATGTAATGGATTGTGGTATTTATGTCACAAAGTGAATTTTAAAGTAGCTTTCCAAGTGGTACTTCATCTGGAAATTTCTCATGCTAATTGTGGATCATTTTGGATACTACTTTTTTTTTTTTTTTTTCTGTGGGTAAAAATAATTGGTACAAAGTTTTATTGTATAATATACAAATCTCAATACAATGTTTAAAATATCTTGAAAAAGAGAATTAATTACTATCTTGTACACATCCAACACATGTACTAAAATATT